ATAGAGTATCGCGATACTAGATACTCGATATTGGCTTAGAGTATCGCGATACTAGATACTCGATACTAAATACTGACTGTATTTAAAAAATGATTCACTGTTTTAAAAATATATATATTTATTAGGGGGATGACAAATAAAATAATAAAATTGAACTTATTCAGTAATAAAATAAATCAATATGACATTACATAATCTCGTTGTCACAACAATGCAAAAATAATCACAATACAATTACAGAACAATTAAATAATAATTCTACATTAAAATTTATAAATATAATAAAATAATTTTAGTAATAACATAATGTCCTAAATCCTAATATATTATAATAAATAAGTATAAGCCAGTCTGAATTTAATTTAAATAGTACATAACGTCATTAATTTTTAATACTAAAAACAAAAGATAAATTATAAAGATATTATTCGTTTCCTTTAAAATACAAGTTTTCCGTTGAATCAGATAATTTATTTCTGGATAAATACGTAACTGGAACGAAGTGGCCACCGTACACTCGACTGCGCGGTCCCGGTGGTGGAGGTGGCGGTGGCGGTGGCGGAGGAGGTCTCGTCCTCCTACCACCGAAATGAGGTACGGCTCTCCGCCGTCGACGTACAGTCCTCTCGCCACCCGTACTACCTGTGCCTGTGCGTTCGCGTGCGTGCACCGCACCGTCCGAACCACGGAACCGCCGCGCGCGCGCGTTTTGTAATTCAGTTTGGTAACGTGGCATCCCCCGGACAGGTATACCTGCGCTGTCCGTCTCGTCGTTAGTAATTCGTATGATTCCGACCCCCGACGAAGCGAGGGGATTTGAAAAAAAATAAAAAGAAGTAAAATAGAAAAAATTTAGTGGGTTCGCGTCCCCCTACCGCGCGAGGTTTTGTTTACGCGTGTCCGTGTGTGCGTGTGTTTTGTGCGGTGTGCGTGCTGCTCGGTCGTACGCGCCTGCGTGTGTGTGTGTGTGTGTGTACGATATATATATATTATACATAGGTATCTTATTGTTATTGTGCGCGTGTGTGCGAGGTTTGCCGGATCGTCGCGCCAGTGCGAAATTTTTGAAAAATACCCGTTTTTTTTTTTCTGTTTTTGTGGTGCCTCCATCCGTGGCCACCGTCCGGGATTTTGAGAGTTTCGCGAGTTTGGTTTCATTTTTTTTCTTTTTCTTTTTCTTTTTTTTTTTTTTTTTTTATACCTCTAACCGACTATCGGCCTCGCGCTCGCGTTCGGTTGCGGTGAAATTTTCGGTGGTTCGGTCTATTCGGTGTCCGATTTGTTCGCATTATTAAATTTGTTCTGTTTGTTTATCAATCGAATGCCGCCGGCGGCCCGAGTGATCCGAGCACATTAAATATTATTAATAATAATAATAAGTATCACGCGCTCCGCGCCGGTGTCAATAACCGACAAGTGGGACATCGCGCGTCAGCAAAGAAGTTTCTCCTTTTTACGGAGAGAGACATTCTACGCTGCGTGTACCGGTCTGCAAAACGGTCAGTGTACACGAATTTTATGTTTGCATTCTTCTGAACTGACAAAATGGTACCGGGGTGGTTAGGCCTTATCGACGACCAACTACCCATCTCGGGAGTCAGCTGCGATGTCTCTATCATGCGGAGGACGGCCCCGGTCGGCTATTTCATATGTAGGTTCTATCATTTAAACCTATTATCTATATCGTTGATGTAGAGTATAATATTATCGAACCGTTTTGTATCGAGGTTTTATATTTATCTTGTTAGTAGGTATAGCCTAGAGTACTTGCTATATTAGATTTCACACGTTTTGTTATCACCTTATCATACAAAGATCAGGTAACTTTTGAAATGTGTTCTTTACCATATCATTACATAGGGTATAGTAAGTATTTAAGTTTCGAGGCTACTGATATTTCATATCTATTGACGTCGTGTATGCGATTATCATAGGAACGCCGAGAAATAAGATCTATCTGTGACATGCCAGGAGAAATATAGGTAGTTGCAGGAAAGTTTATGTTTACGAATATTAAATAGGTAGGTAGTAAAGCCGTAAAGGTATGCATATTATTTTTATTCTCTCTCGGAAATCTAACCTAGCCTAACATTTAGTCCTTACAAGTTAAAATAATAATTTATTCAATTTAATACCATGACGATGATATTGTATCAATTGAAAGAAAATTAGACGTTTTTTATTGCATTTTTCAAGGTAAAACAAATAACGAATGGGAGTTCACATGTAGGTAGATGCTTATTAAGGCGTTTTGGCAGACGTTTTATTAACTGTTTAAGTCTCCTTGCGAAGTATATCTATAAGATAATATACTCGTTAAGTGGCAATTATAAAATTGTTAAATTGACTTGTACTATGTACCATACATGCACTAGTGGCGTAATTTTAAAATTTTGACTTAGTTTTGAGAGGAGGGGGCTAAAATTCGTAGTGTTATATATCGCAAAAAATTAAATTTGAGTTAAAAAAAAAAAAAAAAAATTGGTAGGAGGGACCGAAACCTCCTGCTCCCGATTGCGTAATTCTACCCTGTAGTTTTTGGTATTTTATTTTGTCCATTTTGTAGATTAATAGTGTTTTGTATTGACGAAAATCCAAAAAAAAATCACAGGGGAAAATCTCGGCAATTTGATTTTTATTAATCTTTAGGAATTTTAATTTAAATTGAATCTATACCTAACATTTAACTAATAATTTTAGATATATTTTTAACTCTAGTTTTTAATCAGTTTTGTACTTAAAAATTAGAGTAATATCAATTTTGAATATGGTTCAAAAAATTCTACTGAAAGTCGAAATTACCACCAAAATGTTCAAATCTGCTTACATTTGTGTATTGTACATGTAGTAGATAATAAAATAATCATACAGTACATTACGTAGATAGTTACGCGATTTACAAAAAAATTCAAATGTCCAATGTAGTTTAGGAAACGTAAAAATGTTTATTGCAAATGTATGTTTTTAACTACATTAGAGAAAAATTAGAAAACTTACTAACAATTTTTATTTCTTGTTAATTTTTTTTCAATTATATAAATATTCTTTGATTTAGAACTAAAGATTTTCGCTTATGAAAAAATGTTACTCAATTAAATTAAATTTAAAGCGAGATTTAATTATTTATGAATGTATTGTACAATTATTTGTTACTGAAGTATTGTATTTAATTATACTCTAAAAGTCTGAGATTAGTTGGAGAAATTAAATTATATGTCTTAGTTTTCACTTCCTTTTTTTATTAGTAGTTTAATGTCCTATTTTTTTATGAAGAGTTTTAAGAATGATTTGAAAATACTGAAAGATATTCTACTGTAGTTAAAATATGTGAATATACGCTATTTATAATTAAATATAAAATATAAAATTTACATACCTAATTGTTTGATTATTTTTAAATAAATATATCTGATACTTTTTTTATGTAAGGAATGGTTTTTGTAATTCTACTATAGATTTATAGATAGCAATTAGTAATTATCAGCCCATTTTTTTTATATTTAATAAATAAATTGTATGCAATCGACATATTTATTATTTTTGATTAGCAAAGTTAAAATTAAAAAAAAAACATGTCCCAGGATATCTATTTTCAGGAAAAAATATCTTTCAGTAGATACAAAAGAAAATAAATAAAATATGGCTTTTACGTATATAGCTCAACTTAATCTTATTGTTAGAAACTATTTTTCTTTTCTAAATAAAATGGATTTATTCAATTATATTTACATAATCTTAACTTTGTTGAATATTTTCTAATAGGTACGTTACAACCCCTAAGGTAAACCGATAAAATGTCTGTTCCTAGACACTAAAAAGTAAAAAGCATTATGCTAATTTTTAATTCTAATTTATGTTATTCATTTTACTTTTTTTCCAAGCAATTTACCTGTCGTACTTCTTCTTAACTATTTAAAATGTAAACTACGTGTTTATTGTGGTAGAAAAATATAATTCGAGTATATTCTATTTACAATATATTGTTGTATCAAAACTTATAATGAGTTGTGTCATGAGTAAATTCTATAAATATAGTGTTGACCGTGTTTTAACTAAATATTCTAATATTGGATGTTTTACAACAATGTAAGTGTGTGTTTTCAAAATTAATATTTTATGTCTGTCGTTATGTTTTTAAGCAGTAAAAATGCTCCAATCTTCAATATTGTAGTTGATATTTGGGAGTGAATTGAATCTATAATTTTATTTATAGTTTCCAGTTAGTACTTTCGAATTTGGAGGAATAAAGTTTGGAAATTCTCTTTAGCCTTAAAAATAATCGGAAAATTTCAAGGATAAACGTAAGAGAAATTTTCGTTAAAATTTTATTTTGTTATTATTATTATACCTACAATCTCCATGAAATCTTTAATAAATATTTTATCAAAAATTTCTTAGAAATGATATACCTACTCAATTATTTTTTGTGTTATTTAAATGAACATACTTATGAACATTTTGCACTTTTTTAGTATTTTTATCGATTTATTTTGAAAAAAAAAAAATGTTTTTCTATAGCAAAAGCTTGACGATTAATACAAAGTTTTTCATAAGTTTTTTTTTACGTGATCATAAAAATACTGAAAATATAAGGGTATATTTTATTTTTATGGAAATTTATATAAAAGTGTTGACATAATTGAATGTTTAATTGAATATAACGATTTTAGTTATTTAATTTTTATGTTGTAATTCAAAACATTAATATTTATTATGGGGACTAGAAACTTTTTGCGGTTATGAATAATATTATTTTCTGATTTTTTTTTATACATAATCCTCGATATAATCATAAGCTTTTTATACCACGATTCTATTCATACCGTTCTAGGATATTAACTTGAATTGAATAACATAAATATAATATAATATAATATATTAATTCACAATCGTTTTTTATCGTATGTAATGGTTTGTTAATAAATTGAATCAAACATTTCTATTTTAGGCACCTCTCTTACGTTTTGAAATTTTGAAATCTATTATATGTCAAGAAACTTTGACTTCTTAATTAAAAAAAATAATAATAATATTATTTTATAACTTTTAAATAATAATTTTAATTATTGTAATAAAGAATAGTTTTACTTTAATAATCAAAGAACTTTGAATGCTTCATATAAAACTATAAGAGTATAACTACAATTCTACCTCCCAATTGTATAGTTATGTCAGTGAGTTAGATGCCGAAATTGTATGCATTTGCATGTGCATACTGAGTGAATGCACTTATACGAGGGTTTGAAATGTGGGAAATTCAGACTCAACTGATTCCATAGACCAAATTTAATTTAGCATATAATGGCATATTTGGAGGGCTGGGGCATATTTTTTCATATGTACATATTATAATGTGTATTATTTTGAAAATTATGATTTTTAAATACTGCCATATTGGCGAAAAAAAATTACTATCAACACAGTATAGAATTTTATCTTCTTTAGTTCGATATCATGTTGATAAACTATTATCTGATAAATTAAATTACTTTTAAAGTTACTTCTTAAAGTTGTGTAAAAATTTAGCATTTATTTATTGGCAACACTGGAAATTTTGCTATAATTTATTTGTTTAAACTGTTTTTTTTATATTTAAATATTTTGTTGATATACTTAAATGTTAAAAGGTCTAACACTCCTAATTTTGTTATGCTTATTTGTTTTATTTGTTCTAATGTTTGTAGTTGTTTAAAATAATATAAATTTATGGTGCATATTTGAGCATATTTTTCAATTATTTGTGCATATTAATGCATATTTTGACCCTTTTACTTTGCATATTTACATCATATTTGCCATATTATTAGTGCATATAATTCTGGTCTCTAAGTCTTATGTATAACTGTGTAAGTACAATTTTGATTTCCACGTATGACATTATTTAAACATGTATTACCTACCATAAAATGATTAAAATGTATTATTGTAGTTAGATAACACTTTTTAAACTTTGGTGATCTTTTGAATTGTACTATTGACGTAATTATGTATCATTAAGCTAATACCTATATAAACTCGCATAATTATATTTGATACATTCATATAATTTATTTTAATTTTCGGTTTTATATAAATGTTGTAACTTTAATAGTGAATTATAAAAACTATTTTATACTTAAATAACTAAAATGTTTATTTCTAGAATAATCGAATTTTAAGTTTTTGCGAAAATAAACCAAATATTTAAAAATTAATATTTTATTTTGAACTTCACTTGGTTATAAGAGATTTAAATAAATTGGCAAGTTCCGAAGTACCGTTAATTTTTTTTTTTTTTTTTTGATTTTATAAAAAAGGGAATAATGTTGTCTTGGATTTTAATATCTAATCAGTTTTTAAAAACAATCCCATGGAAATATAAGTACTCTTCAATTTCTCATTAGTATATTCTATTTAACATAAGCTTTTAACTTAAAAAAAAAATGTTGTTGAATAAAACTTACTTATGTAAATAATGTAGGTGAAGGCATCTGTAGTATACGTGTAATATAGGTACTACACACAATAAATATATGTTTTATTTTGGTTGAACATTTTTAATTAAAAGTTATATTTATTATTTTATTGTTTTAAGAGAATTTTAGTTTGTTTTAAAATGTCTGTTCTGTTTGTGTAGATATATTTGGAGCTTGTATTGATTGATACTCAGAC